AACTCTGATTTGTGCTGAGGATGCCCTCTAATTAGTAATTTACAAGGTGGGTAGCAGTCTTTCCCTCCCTAGTTCCTGTGTGCCTCAGTCTCCCCGTCGATGGGACCTTTTATGTTCAGAACCAAGTAACAGCCTGAGATCTGCATGTTTCTCTGCTTTGTGTGTAGAATTCTTTGAAGCAGCCCCTGAAGGCAGGAGTGGAAGCATCCCTTGATATTCTCAACTGGAGAGGTCATGCTTATCAAACAGCTCTGCTCCTGCTGAGGGGGGACCGCTAATGTCCCTTTCACTTTTTTAGCCTCTAAGTGTTTTAAGATGCACCAGTTTCTGGGTTTTTCACAGTCTGAGATGGATCTTTAGCCTGCTGCACGTGAACAGAGGTTGAACTATGCGAACTTAGGTCTAGAACACAGGCCTTGCAAAAGAAAGGTTGGAAAAATTAGGATTATCTGATCTGGGGAAGGGATTTGAATAGTTTTCAAATACCAGAATGGTTATTATAAAGAGGCTGGTGACTCCCTGTTCCCTGTGTCCACAGAGGCAAAAAGCAACTGTCTGAAATTGTGACAAGTAAAGATTAGATTGGATCTTGCAGAGAGCTTCTGAACTCTGAGGGTGGCTCAGCACTGGCACAGATTTAAGTGCAAGGGTAGAAGTCTTTGTGCCTGGAAGTTTTGAAGAGCGGTTTAGACGCATGTTTGGCTGAGATGATTAATCAGGGATGGTCTTGCCTCGAGCAGGGGGCTGAGCTAGATATGACTTCATGCAGTCTCTTCAAGCTTTGTTTTTCTGTGACTTAGTGTTAACATCAGCAGCATGCACTGCAGGCTGCTTGCAACATAAAATGTTCAACACTGGCACAAGGCCTCTTTGTTTATCTTGGTGGTGACATTTGTGATGCTGGGAAGTGACCAGGACAGGAGGTCACTTGGATAGTGTGTGGTCTACCTGAATCCTGTGCAGCTGCTAAAGGTCAAAATGGGTCTTTGGAGAAGGAACTGGCTGGGGCTTGGAGGACATTGAAATATTTCCTCTTCCAGTAGCTGCACAAGTATTGTTGAGAGCACCTGTAACACCTACACCCTCTCTTCCCTAGATTATGCCTGCCAGAATATTTCCACCTCCTCTCCTCTTAGGGGTAAGTGTAAAGATGTAGACATGCTTTGTGATACCTTCTGCTGAAATCCATGAAGAACACGCCTGATGCAGTTCTTCTTCTGTCTCCAGATAGAACCCACGTGAACTACGATATCAAAGGAGATGTTGCGGTTGTACGTTTCAACACACCAAATTCAAAGGTATTGCTTTGGTCAGCTGTGACTAATAGGTATCAGAGAAGATTGAGGCTAGGGTGAGAGTTGTACAAAGACAACAAAAGTTCAGAGTTGCTAGAGCACTAATGAGACAGGCTGTTTAGGTTTGGAAAAAGTTGAACTGGAGTGCATGTTAACAGGAGCACCTAGTGCACCTTTTCGTGCAATGATAGGGGCACTTCAGTGGAATGGAGAGAAATCGCATTTAAAACTGTTAGGACAAATTTGACAAAAAGACTGGACATCAAGGTGGCAAGGGAAAACATGCTGGTGAAGCCAAGTACAACTGAAAAGTTTAGGGAAGGTCATAAACCTTTATGTCCTCATACACCCACTTAGTGATAGGGTTTTGGAAGAAACCTCTTTGGATGCTGAATTAGATGGACTGCAAATCTGGTGTGCTGGATTCTTTGGAGACAAACAGCTTCCTAACTCTACAGCAGAGCTGTGCTTGGACTCAGCTGTTCAAATAAGCATTAAAAATAGGCCAGGCTCAGGCTTATCTTACCTGTGCTGGAAAGCTCTGTACTGCTGAATGAAGCTGTGGAGTAAAGAGGGGATCTTGCCTAAACTTGCTGTTCTATCTGCCCCTTCCCTTCAGTAGGGGGATGTTTCCATTGGCAAACTTTTTGACCATGTGGAACCTAAAAGGTAGGTGCTTCACTAAAGGTTAATCTCTGCTGTCTCTCTCACTCCATATTTACTGTCTCTAGGTAAACACGCTGTCCAAACAACTGCAGTCGGAGTTTGTAGAGATAATGAATGAAATCTGGGCCAATGAAGCAGTTAAAAGTGCCGTCCTGATCTCTGCGAAACCAGGCTCCTTTATTGCTGGGGCTGACATCAAGTAAGCTGTGGGGAGCAGAAAGTCCTTGTTCAGAGCTTTGACAGTTAGCAGAGACACTCCTACTGGTATCATGATCAGAAGCTTGATGTGTTTTGAAGGCGCGTTAGTTCTCTGCCAAGTCTTGTTCAATGTGGGGGCAGAAGCTAGAAGCTCCAGCTTATCCTGTGTGTCTTGGCAGGGATCTGCTTAATGGAGTTTGGGGGCAGCAGTCATACATGTGGCCACCACTTAGCTATGTGCAAGGGAGCAGGGAGGGGAAGAATCCCAAGCATGGCTTGGAGCAGAGCATTATATGCTGGCCTTCAGGCCATGTCATAGAAAATGAGGGTTGGAAGGGACCTCAGTCCAATCACATCTAGTCCAACCCCCTGCTCAAAGCAGGACCAGCCCCAACTAGATCATCCCAGCCAAGACTTTGTCTACCCATGTCTTCAAAACCTCCAAGGATGAGACTCCGTAACCTCACTTTACTACCATCCTAGTGAGAGTTTTTCCTAATATCCAACCTAAACCTCCCTTGCTGCAACATGAGCACATTGCTCCTTGTCCTGTCATCTGCCACCACTAAGAACAGTCTGCCCCCATGCTCTTTGGAACCACCCTTCAGGTAGTTAAAGGTTGCTGTCATATCCCCTTCAGTCTCTTTTGCAGACTAAATAAACCCAGTTCTGTCAGCCTCTCTTCTCAAGTCACGTCCCCCTGCCCACAAACCATTTTTGTTGCCCTCTGCTGGACTGTCCAACTTGTCCACATCCTTTCTGTAGTGGGGGGCCCCAAAACTGAACACAGGACTCCAGATGTGGCCTCTATCAGTACAGAATAGAGCAGAATGATCACTTCCCCTGATCTGCTGGCAACACTCTTACTAATGCAGCCCAGGATGCCGTTAGCCTTCTTGGCAACAAGGGCCCACTGCTAACTCATATCCATCTTATTGTCCACTGTAAGTATTTTCTGCAGCGCTGCTGCTTAGCCAGTCAGTCCCCAGGCTGTGGGATTGTCCCAGCCTAAGTGCAGGACTTTGCACTTGTCTTTGTTGAACTTCATGAGATTTCTTTTGGCCCAGTCCTCCAACTTGTCTAGGTCACTCTGAATCCTAGCCCTACCCTCCAGCACAGGGACAGGGAATTATTTTAGGTGTAGGGCCACTTACTGAGTTTTGGCAAGCCCTCAAGGGCCACATGACAGGCAGCCAGGGGCAAATAAATATTAATTTTCTAAAATTTTTAGGGGCCCTGCAGGCCAGATAGAATGGCCTGGCAGGTCGCATCCAGCCTGCAGGCCACCTTTTGCCTACCCCTGCCCTAGTTCTTGAGAGACAGTAAATAATAAGTCCCTATTTACTTTATCTTTACTGTTTAGTATTTTGTAAACCCGCAGCATGTCCCCTGTCTAAACTGAATAGGCCTAACCTCTTGGGTCTCTTCTCATATCGAAGCCCCTCCATACCACTAATCATCCTTGTTGCTGTTCTCTGGACCTTCTCTAGTTCTTCTATATCAGGGCGGGCAATTATTTCGGGCAGAGGGCCACTTACTGAGTTTTGGCAAGCCATCAAGGGCCACATGCCAGGGAGCCAGGGGCAGATAAATATTAATTTTCTTAATTTCGGGGGGCACCACGAGCTGGATAGAATGGCCTGGCAGGCCTTATCTAGTCCTTGGGCCGCATTTTGCCCACCCCTGCTCCAGCATATCTACTACACCCCCCAGCTTGGTATCATCTGTGAATTTGCTGAGGGTGCACTACATACCATCTTCCAGATTGGTAATGAAGATATTGAACAAAACTGGCCACAAGACTGACCTCTGGGGCACTTGAAACCAGCTGCCAACCAGACATTGAGCCACTGATTACTACCTGTTGAGCCCAACAATCCAGCCAGCTTTCTGTCCACCCTACAGTCCATTCATCCAGTCCATACTTCTTCAGCTTGCTTGCAGGAATGCTGTGGGACATGGTTAAATCACGTCCACTGCTTTCCCTGTATACACAGAGCCAGTTATCTCAATATAGAAGGCAATCGGGTTGGTCAGGCATGACTTACCCTTGGTGAAACTGTGCTGATGGTTCCTAATCACCACCACTTCCTCCAGCTGCTTAGAAATGGATTCTTTGAAGATCTGTTCCATGATTTTTGCAAGGACTGAGGTGAGGCCAACTGGTCTGTAGCTCCCTGGATCCTTCTTCCATTTCTTAAAGATGGGCACTATGTTTGCCCTTTTCCAGTCATCCCGGACCTCCCCTGATTGCCATGATTTTTCAAAGATAATGGCCAGTGGCTCTACAGTCATCTCAGCCAACTCCCTCAGCAACTTCAGTTGCATCCCATCCAGCCCCATGGACTTGCATACGTCCAGCTTTTCTAAGCTTCCCATCTTCAAAAAGGGGAAGAAGGAGGACCCGGGAAACTATAGGCCAGTTAGTCTTACCTTGATCCTGGGCAAGCTTTTTGAGAGAATTATTCTGGCGCATAGCCA